CATAAATGCCGGGGACTGGTCTAGGTGGAAGTCCCTTCCAGTCCTGTGATTTTTGTGTGTCTGACTTTTTCCCATTTTCGCTTTATAAATGTTAATAATCTTAGGGCAGGGCATTTCCTGGTGTCAGTGCCCACTGCTGGGGCTCTCAGCAGGTCATTAGGGATGCTCAGTACCTTGATGGCTATAGCTTAACTGAGCCAAAGGGATTCCTGTACATTTCAGTCCAGTAGATCCTCCGAGTTACAAACACCCGGTAACCCTGAAATGTTGGTAACTCTAATTGCAAACTGTTGTCTGTTTTCTTTCAAAAGTTTACCATTGTACATTGACTTCATACAGCCTTGAAACTTTATTATGCAGCAAAAAATGCTGCTTTTATCTATCTCACTTTAAATGAAACATGAACAGAGTTTCCTTAGCTTGTCAAATGTTTCCTTGAAGCTTTCCCTTTGTTTGTTTGTTTTGTTTTACGCAGTACTGTACTGTATTTGGGTTTTTTTTCCTGGTCTCTGCTGCTGCTTGATTGCATATTTCCAGTTCCAGATGAGCTGTGGTTGACCCATCAGTTCATGAGTCTGGTGTCTGTAACTCTGAGGTCCTCCTGTACTTTCAACAACCAAACACATGTGGCATGACTCCGTTGAGCCAACTACTCAATCACAGAGAACTCTAACAACCTGGAATTGAATTGTATAAGTTAAACATAGAAAATTCCTTTTATGTTGAACAGGTCATTTCTTCCCTAGCCCTGGTGCAGGATTATTTCTGGCTGGAGTATGTTCTCTAGTACTCTGGTTTTTTGTAGGGGTACTCTCGGGTTTTACTCTGTTTAAATTCTCTTAAGAACATGAAAATATCCTTCCTGGGTAAGACAAGTGGTCCATCTAGCCCAGTACCCGGTCTTCTGACAGTGGCCAGGGTCAGGTGTTTCAGAGGGAATTAACAGAATAGGCAACCATTGAATGATCCATCTCATGTCCTGTCCCGGCTTCTGGCAGTCAGTGTCTTAGGAGCCCCCAAAGCCTGGCGTTGTGTCCCTGACCTGTCTTGGCTAATAGCCGTTGATGGACTTCGTGAACATCTGTCATTCTTTTTGGAGCCCAGTTATGCTTTTGCCTTCACAGCATCCTCTGGCAGTAAGTCTCACAGCCTGGCTTTGCATTTCTTGAAGAAATACTTCCTTTTGTTTGTTTTAAACCTGCTGCTGATTAATTTCATCGGATGACCCTCGGTTTTTGTGTCATGTGAAGAGTTACTAATACTTCCTGCTTTGCTTTCTGAATACCAGTCGTGACTTTATTGATTTCTAGCATATCATCCTTACTCATCTCTCTTCTCAGCTGAACAGTAGCTGACTTTTGAATCTCTCTCCATATGGAAGTTGTTCCATAGCTCAGTCATTTTTATCACCTTTCTCTGTGCTTTTTCCAATTCTAATGTGTCTTTTTAAAGGCAGGACAACTGGGACCGCACACAGTATTCAAGTTGTGGGTGTAGCTTGGATTTATTCAGTGACATTATGATATTTCCTGTCTTACCTGTCCTTTTCTGAAAAGTTCCTAGCATTGTGTTGGCTTTTTGATTGCCATTGCACATTGAGCAATTTTTTTTTTTCATAGAGCTATCCATGGTGACTCAGATCTCTTTCTTGAATAGTAACAGCTTAATCCTCATCATTTTGCATGTATGTATATTTGGGATTATATTTTCTAATGTGCATTACTTTGCATTGGTCGACACTGAATTTCAGCGGACATTTTGATGCTCAGTCACCCAGCTAAGTAAGATTCTTGGTGGCTAGCTTTGGACTTAATTATCTTGAGTACTTTAATATAGCCTGCAAACTTGGCCACCACCCTATTTAGCTCTTGCCAGCTCACTTATGAATATGTTGAACAGCACTTGTTCCATTGTAGATCCTTGGGGGAACGCTATTTGCCTCTGCAGTCTGAAAACTGACCATTTTTCCCTGCCCTTTGTTTCCTGTTTTTTCATCCATCAGTTTTTTGATTTATGACAGGGCCTTCACTCTTATCCCATGACAGCTTGTTTTGCTTAAGAGCCTTTGGTGATGAACCCTGCCAAAGGCTTTCTGAAAGCTATGTCCACTAGATCACTGTTGTCCACATTTGTTGACCCACTTAATCAATTCTAATAGATTGGGGAGGTATGATTTCCCTTTACAAAAGCTATGTTAATTCTTCCCCAACTACAGTATATTGTGTTCAGTTTTGTTCTTTGCTATATTTTCAACCAATTTGCCTGGTACTGAAATTAGAATTACCAGTCTAAGTGCCCGGGTCATATCTGGAGATTTTTTTAAAATGGCATTACAGTAGCTGTCTGCCGGTCATCTGGTCCAGAGGTTAATTTAAGCCATACATGATGTAACCCAGAGAGTAGTTCTGCAATTTCATATTTGAGTTCCTTCAGAACTCTTGTGCGATTTTCCTCAGCTGGGGACTCACCAGGGATCCTAGAAATCAGTTTGCTATGGAAAAACATGGAATTGGCATTTTTTACAGAGAATTTTAGTTTTTATATTTTGTAAAAAAATTAAGAACATATTGTAGCTATTAGTAGAAGTTAGGGTGACCATATTTCCCCAGGGGAATACAGGAAACCCTGTGGGGCTGGCCTGAGGCCGACAGCCTGCCCTTCAGTACCTGCCACCCCCTGCCCTGAATGTTCTTCCGAGTCCCTGAAAGGGGCATGCCCCACTTTTTTGGCCAAACTGGGCATTTGTCCCATTTGCAAACAGGACACTTCCTAATTTTGCCAAAAAAGTTGGGATATTCGGGACAGAGTTTAAAAAGGGGATTGTCCCAGTCATAATAGGACACATGGTCTTCCCAATCCAACCGATACCTATATATGCACTGTGGCTAGGGAAACTAAAGATGAGAGTTTCATTTTAATTGTGGGAAGACATGGATTTTTATTTTTTTGAATTGGAGAATTTTGGGTTTTTATCATTCAAAACTAGGACCCCTGCTTATTACTGTTAAATTTATCAATGTGTTCCCAAACTTCCCCTAGGGACATTTCAGTCTGAGACTGTGCCACAGGTTTGGTCTTCCTTGAGTGCTCTTTTAGCACCTTGATTATCCAGTGGCCACACTGCAGGGTTGCCAACAGTCAATAAATTTATGGCCAGTCCCTAAAAAATTAGCCGAAATTGGACATGTCCGTAAAGTCTGTTTAAAAAAAAATTAATTAGGTGTCCGTAAATTTCGTAAAAGTGCAATGAAATTTCAAAAAACAGCAATTCTTCTATAACAATGACATTTCTTCTGTGCTGCTTCACCATTTTACTGTGGAGCAGTGGAAATTGAACATTTTAGTTGTTTATTTAGCTTAATGGTTGAGGTGACGTAACATCCAGGACCATGACTAACTACAGGCAGTCCCCGACTTACGTGGATCCGACTTACGTCGGATCCCTAGATACGAACGGGGTGAGGCAACTCCTGCACATGCGCAGCAGCATTCCCGGGGCTCGCTCACCTGGGTCCTAGGATCCTCCTCCTCCTCGGGCCGGCTCCGACTGGGGTCCCGCAGAGCTGCTGGGCAGAGGAAAAGTGCCTCCCCACGCCCGCTGCCGCCCCCTCCCCTGAGCAACAGGCTGCCGAACAGACAAAAAC